CTCCTCCTGCTCCTCCTTCTCCTCCTCTTCTTCCTCCTCCTCCTCTTCCTCCTCCCCCTTTCCTTCCACTCTCTCTAGAATCAATGGAAAAAATATCCTCACTCCTGGGTGAGAATTAAAAACAAAAAAAGAACTAAGAGGAGTATAAAACACTACCCAGGTGGGCAAAATAGTTCTAAGAAACCTACAGGAAACTCCATTTAAAAAAACAACAACAACAACGAAAAACTTTAGGAGTTTCAATTCACACTTGTCTTATTTGCTCCCCCCCACCCCCCGCCGCCCCTTTTAAGAACAGATACATGTTGAAGTCTAAGGTGTCTGCAATCTCATTATATTTACCAGAATGAGTGTGGCCAGGGCAGGAAAATAAAATACTTTATTTCAATGTTACTGGCATGTTTGGCAATCTGGGAGCTTCATAAATCCATTAGTCCTTTCAACGTTACCAATTTACAGTCACATTTTCTTTCTTTTTTCTTTTTTCCTCCCTCAAAGAAAGGTACACAAAGGATTTTACTTAGTCCATGAACTAAGACTTGTATAGAATTATTAAGGCCCTTAAAAATAGGAATCATTCACAAAGATGCATAAAGCAATCATGTGGAAGTTATCCAAATTAAAAGAACTCTGAAGTTAACACCAATCTATGACATTTTTCTAGGCATTCATTACATAGCTAAACAAATGTGTTTTCTTAAAAGTCTTTCTCTCTGTATATATACACAGTAACACCAAAAACAATGAGAACAGGTGTCGGAGCACGCAGCAGGAGCCCTGGTGCTCTGAGTATGTCTGATTTGTTCTGAGTCGCTGCATTTCCCTAAATTCTCCTATCCGACTACGCCAGGGCTGGCTCCTGCTTGATCCCCGCCCTCTGTACTAACGGTTGGGAACTTAGTCCAAGTTCCTCCTTTATCCTCTGCTCACTAGTAACATGTGTTGGGTCCGAGCCCCTCTGCCTGGGGCTGGACCTCCTAGGATGCTGTGTCTTAGGCGGAGAAGCCATGAGAGGTTGTGGGTTTATAAGAATGAGTCTTTATTGCTGAAGCCAGTGGCCATATAGCCATTAGACAAGAACATCCTTTACAGCAAAGTTCATACAGGCAGGCAGCTGGACACCAGCTGGTGAACATATATCTTTCCCATAAAGCAGCATCAGTCTCTGTACCCACAGCTATTATCTGAGCAGCCACATGCTGCCTCCTAGACTCACCGCCTCACATGGTAGCAGTAGCTGAGCTCTCTGGCTCAGCAGCTTCTCCTATCTCTCCTGCCCAGCTGCTCTCTCTAGCAGACTTCTTCACACACTCCATCCTAGCTGCTCTCTCTCCATACTCCAGCAGACTTTTCACTCCATCCTCAGCCAACTCCAGCCAACTAACTTGGTCAGTAACTTATTTTTATTTTATACCATTTAGACAAAGAAGGCTTCATGCCAACAGTGGCATCAATAATATTGGCTACTGAAGGGCACAGTGTACCGTGTGTCCTTGTACCCGCTCATGGGATCTTGGCATGATTAGGATTTCCAGGCTCAGAGTCCTTGAACATTCTGTTAGGGCACTTGCCCAGAGCAGCCTTTGGTCATTCTGGTGTATTGATATCAAGGTCTTTGTGCTCCCACCGGCCTTGACTATCCGGGGACCTGGCATGGTTCCCACAACATGGAAATCTAAATAAGTAGCTAAAATACAGAAATAATCCATTTCCATTCAAATAAAAATATTGCCTTTTTAAAAATATGAGGGAAAGGTAGTAAATTCAAATAAAATTGGCTGTGGCTGAGATTAGGGGCCACAAAAATAAGTGGGTTTGTGACCATAATTGTACAATGTTGCAAACTGGTGAGACAACTTTAAACTATATACTATTTCAGGGCCAGGCTGTCTTAGGAAACTTAACTAACCAGAAAATAACACCTTGCTAAGTGTAAAGCCTGAAACTGTCCAATAATCCCAGCTATTCAAAGGAAGGCTGTTTACTCACCTGTCCCTTTGAGAAAGGAGCTCCGATGACCCCTATGGATTTTGACTTAGAACTCATGCTCTGACGTTCCTGGTCACTGCACCCGAGGTCTCCAGCCAGTCACAACGTCTGCAACCCTCAATGACAAGAGACACATATTTTTTCCACTTATAATTGGGCTGAATCTGTTTATCTTATTCTAATAAGGAAGATTGGCTCCACCTACTGAACCAAACAGGACAGTCCACTGGAAGTCCAGCAAGTTCTTCCTGTGTGGAAGAACTTGGGTTCGTAATTCAGGGAGATTATCCATGTCCCCAATTCACAGCCATTTGACAAGTCATCTGGGTTAATACCTTGTCTAATCACAATCTTTATTTCCTAATCATAATACTCTCTCTAATCTAATGAAGTCATCATTATCACATAAACAGTGCCATGGTTTCAGCTGTACTAACTCCAGGAAGGGCACTTACTTCCTCCAGGGCTTCGAGTCCTTCCGTGTCAAAGAAGGGCTGGGACTGACAAGATGATCGCCTCACAACCCTTCCAGCCCTACAATCCTGAGTTCAAGTTTCACACACTGGGATTAATGGTTAATCAGTGAGACACATCCTACACCACAAGGGAAAGCATATGACTTCCTTTTCTGCTTATTATTAAAGGAAATCTTAATTGCCTCATTAATAACTCGGAGGTGTTGCCATACTGATTTTTAAATATGGTGTGTTTATACTAATAAAAGGGTAATATGCTAACTAGACCAGGTCGACTGGACATCTTCCAGAGGTCCAACTTCCTTCCGGACAAAGCCACGGTGGCGGGGACTGAGGCAGAGGCAGTTAGGGGCAATCAGGCCGGCAGGGGAGCAAGCAGTTAGGGGGCGATTAGGCTGGGGGGGGGGGGGGGGGAGCAAGCAGTTACAGGGAAAGATCAGGCTGGCTGGGGAGGGCAGTTGGGGGTGATTAGGCCAGAGGGGAGGGCAGTTAGGTGGCGATCAGGCCGGCAGGCAGAGTGGTTAGGTGCAATCAGGCAGGAGAGTGGTTAGGAGCCAGCGGTCCCGGATTGTGAGAGGGATGTCCAACTGCAGGCAGCTGGACATCCCCTGAGGGGTCCCAGATTGTAGAGGGTTCAGGTAGGGCTGAGGGATACCCCCCGCCATACACAAATTTTGTGCACTGGTCCTCTAGTAGGAAAATAACAGTCTTTGGAATCATAATCAAGATATAGAAGTAAAAACAGCCAACAATGAGTTTTTATCATGTGCCAGATGCTGTTCTGTTTTATATTATCTCATTTAATCCTTGTACCAACATTATGTCAAGTCTCATCTTTTTTTTTTAAGTTTCTGATTTTAATATTAGTCTGACATAGCATTAGTAACCATGCTGCACTGAAACATTAATGGTACAATCTGATTCATGAGGGGGCGGTTGGGGTGGGGGGGGGGGAGCAAGCAGTTACAGGGAAAGATCAGGCTGGCTGGGGAGGGCAGTTGGGGGTGATTAGGCCAGAGGGGAGGGCAGTTAGGTGGCGATCAGGCCGGCAGGCAGAGTGGTTAGGTGCAATCAGGCAGGAGAGTGGTTAGGAGCCAGCGGTCCCGGATTGTGAGAGGGATGTCCAACTGCAGGCAGCTGGACATCCCCTGAGGGGTCCCAGATTGTAGAGGGTTCAGGTAGGGCTGAGGGATACCCCCCGCCATACACAAATTTTGTGCACTGGTCCTCTAGTAGGAAAATAACAGTCTTTGGAATCATAATCAAGATATAGAAGTAAAAACAGCCAACAATGAGTTTTTATCATGTGCCAGATGCTGTTCTGTTTTATATTATCTCATTTAATCCTTGTACCAACATTATGTCAAGTCTCATCTTTTTTTTTTAAGTTTCTGATTTTAATATTAGTCTGACATAGCATTAGTAACCATGCTGCACTGAAACATTAATGGTACAATCTGATTCATGATTTGTTAAATATTATATCCCAGACCCCCAGAATATTTAAAATGGTCATAAAGTTAACATTGTGTAAGTAAGTATATAAGCATAAACAGTTATGGACAGCTGAAACCGGTTTGGCTCAGTGGATAGAGCGTCGGCCTGCGGACTGAAAGGTCCCAGGTTCGATTCCGGTCAAGGGCATGTACCTGGGTTGCGGGCACATCCCCAGTGGGAGATGTGCAGGAGGCAGCTGATCGATGTTTCTCTCTCATCAATGTTTCTAACTCTCTATCTCTCTCCCTTCCTCTCTGTAAAAAATCAATAAAATATATTTAAAAAAAAAACAGTTATGGACAGTATAAATTGCTGTTTAGCAATACACAAACTGCCCAAAGATTTATGCTTACAAGGTAGACGTTCAATTATACCAATAAAACAGCATGTCCTGAAAATATGGGCACATTTTAAGACAATTTTGTTAACCATTAATAGTCCCACAGTATGACTGAGTAATAATAAGAACCTACTTTAAAAGCAAAAAATTTTAATCAGTATAGTGCGTGATTGATTCAACATAGTTCCCAGGGAACAGACCAGTCACTCGATTGCAGACTCCTTCATGCCAGCCATCATCATTCTTCTTTATTACATAAACTAGAAGCCTGTTGCACGAAGATTCACGCAATAGGTCTTCCTTCCCCTGGCTGCTGGCACCGGTTTTCCTCTGGCACCCAGGACCCAGGCCTTTGGTCCAGCCACAGTGGAGAAACCAAGCCTCTTCAATCTTCAGTCTTCACTCCGGCCAGAGCCTTCAGTCTTCGCTCCATGTCTGTGTATGCAAATTAACCACCATCTTTGTTGGGTTAATTTGTATAGTCGCTCTGATTGGCTGGTGGGCATAGTGGAGTGACACCAATTTGCATTAGTGTAGATGATTGCACCCTCATAAATGACAGCTCATCATCCTTGTCTTTTGTATAATCATATATTGCCACAACTTTCTCAATATAATTTTTAGGGGCCCACGCAGGATCCCCATCTGCATATGGGTCATTATAATGAACTAATGCAGCCTCCTCATCTTTATAATCTACTGGAGGTGGTGGTGGCGGAGGTGGAGAGTCATCAAACATGGGAATGTTAACTGGTGGAAGTGGTGGTGGAGGAGTTTGACTATCAGCAATTGAATTCTGAGAATAAAGTGGACCTCCATTACCAGGGGGCTGAGCAGAAAATTGAGCAGTCACAGAGGGAGTTCATCTGTATCCACCAAAAGATGTCAAGGAAGTGGTAGAGTTGTGTCAAGAAATCTGCCTGGTCATTGTGCCACACTGGGAACCAGGAGCTGAGCCTGGGGCCGCTGATCCAATAGTGGGTGGTGAAGGTGTAGGCACGGCAATGGGAATGCCAATACTGCTGCTTCCACTGTTTTCTCGACTTCCACTTCCCTCACTACTTCCACTGTGTGTCCTCGGTCTCTGAGTTAAAGAAGCTGTCCTGCCTGGGCTATGCTGACTTCCAAGCCTAGCAGGACGGGTCATATAGTCATTAGGAACTGTTGGAGGTTTAACAGGTTCCAGGGTTTTGTAAGGCCTATTCCGTCCCATCGTTCCCCGGGCTGACATGGGAGGACTTGGTGGTTTCTGAGTAGGAGAATTTAGGTTATTTCCATGCTTGACACCATGGCCCACATCATCCAGAACTGTATAGTCAATACGTTTCCGAATATACCTTACAGGGTGCTCCATATTTGCAGGTGCTATTATTTTGTGAGTTCTTGATGTTTTCTTATTTGTTGTCAAAATACCAATCTCCATTCTCTTTATGAATGTCCACCGTCTGTGAGATATGATTGATGGAGGACTCCATTCTCCGAAGCTGAGAGGCTTGGGTGTCCAGCAATTGGAGTACATTGTTGGCCAATGCATTTATTTGATAAGCAACACTAGCTAGGGATTGGGTTGTATAGGCTTTGGTCTCTTCTAAAGCTTTTCTCTTGTCTGTAGCCTGTATGTAGGTGTTCTCACAGTAGTCCGCCACCCGGGTCAGGTTCTGGTAACTCTCTATAAGTGCCCTCTTGCCAGACGGGATTTCCTCCTCCAGTAACATCTGCAACTCTGCCATTTTCCACTCCTCCACAGGCTGCAAGGTCAGTGGAGACTCCCAGCACCTCGCAACCCGGATACAAATCACTTACCTGCCCCCCAACCCCCCTCAAGTCTCATCTTTGATGCCATTTTATTGATGAGGAAACTGAAGCTCAGAGAGGTTGCCAACTGTCACTCAGGTTGTAGAGCAAGAGCCATGATTCACTGTTAAGCATTGTGGATCCACCTAACCTCTGCGCTTTACAATGAAGCACAAGCCAGGTGTCAGATCCTCGTGCCTGCCAGATCTGTGAGGGGAGTTCTTTATCGCCAAGAAAATACGGATTTAGGAGAAATGCACCCTATGAATCCTTCCAACTTTAAAATGACATGATTGTAATTTAGAGGAGAAATTCACTTAGTAGAAACTAATTTCTTTTTTTTCTATTGGTAAGAGAGAACATTGGGGAGTATTTAAATTCCAGGAGGACAGAGTTTTGTCTGTTGTATTCCCAGAACCTAGAACAATGCTGATATGTGATAGGCACTCAATAAATATTTGTAGAATGTGTGAACAAGAAAACCAGTGTCTCACAGGTCCAGTTTAATAGGACTATTTTCCAAACAGACTTCCTATCTTTCACTTGTAGATTCACTTGCATTACTAGATAGTTACTTGTAGTATATTGTGTAGTATATGTATTTTGTATAGCTAGATACTAACTTATGGGAGGGATTTGCAACCTTTTTCATCTCATGACACACATAAACTAATTAGTAAAATGTTGTGGCACACCAAAAAATATATTTTTGCCAATCTGACAAAAAAAAATAGCTATAATTTTGATTCATTCACACCAGACACCTATTGTTGTGCTGGCTGTTGTCATTTTTTTTATTTAACAATCTAAGGAAAAATAGGTTAGTGCCCCTGACTAACTAGTCAGGTATTGCATGTTTTAAAATTTTTTTGCGGCCCACTGGTTGAAAACTGCTGTCTTATGGTGCTGATGTTGCAAAAAACTTTCCCAAGTGTCAGTAATCTGATAACTTTGTATATGTTATCACCCCAAATCCTTAACTTTTAAATAGGCAACTGAATAATTTTCCCCTCATGTTTTGTGTTCTGGAAATTTTGAATAAGTCCTCCCTACTCCAAAATCACAAATACACGTTTCTATATTTTCTTCTATTTGCTTTAGAGTTTATCTTTCACATTTACTTCTTTAATTCATCTGCATACATCTTGGTATACTGTGAAAGTTCCCCAACTATACTTTTTCCTGTGTAGTCCCCTTAGCAATTTCCTAAATGAAACCCATTGAACAGTTCATCCATTTTCTGTTATTGGTTCCAGTGGTATCTTCATCATATACCAAGTTCTCCTAAATACACAAATCTGTCACTGAACGCCTTCTTCAGTTCCATTGGCTTATTTACCTGTTGATGCACCAATTCCACACTGGTTTATTATCATGATTTTGTGGATGTCATGGGCCTCTATTCTAGAATAAGTTGTCAGATTTTAAAAAATCCTGCTAGAATTTTTACTAAATGTATAGATTAATCAATAGATGTTTGCTATCTTTCACATTTCATTATCTGCATTTTACTTTATTTTTAAAAAATATTTTTATTGATTTCAGAGAGCAAGGGAGAAGGAGAATGAGACAGAAACATCAATACATCAATGATGAGAGAGAATCATTGATCAGCTGCCTCCTGCACGATCTCTGAGCTCGCAACCCAAGCATGTGCCCTGACCAGGAATCGAACCATGACCTCCTGGTTCATAGGTCGAGTCTCATCGCCTGCATTTTAAAAACTCTAGCATCTGAAAGTTCCTCTTATATCAAGCTGAGATTGCCTTCCTGTTATTTGATCCATTGACCGCAACCCTTCAATCCAAGTAAAACATGCTGTCTCAGATTTCTTGGGTCCTCTATTGTTTAGCTTGAATACCCCCAGACACCTCATCAGTTTCTTGTATTACATGATTGATACTTTCCTTCAGGTTACCAACTCAATCACTCTCTTCAAAACATTTTCTGGTTTCCCTATTCCCTGTGTGTCCCATCCAGAATTAAGTGCATATGTCCAGGTGTAGAAGAAGTCATCTGGCCCATCAAAGACAAATTTGGTAATGCCTGACTTTTTCGGGTCACTGATAAAAAGTGAACAGGTCAACACTTATGTAATAGCTCCTTGGCATTCCACTGGATACTTCAATCCAGATTGGCATAAACCCATTAATTAATCATCACCCTAGCCGGATTGGATCAGTGGAAGAGCCTCAGCCTGTGGACCAAAGGGTCCCAGGTTCGTTCCGGTCAAGGGCACTGTACCTCAGTTGCAGGCTCCTCCCTGGCCCAGACTCTCGTTGGGGCGTGTGCAGGAGGCAACCAATCATTGTGCTTCTCTCACATCGATATTTCTCTTTGTCTTTCCCTCTCTTTTCCACTCTCTGAAAATCAACGGAAAAATATCCTTGGGTGAGGATTAAAAAAAAATTTAATCATCAGTCCATAGATACGGTTGTTCACTCTGTTCCCAAGTCAACCACTCCATCTTGTCCATAAGGACATCATAAGGAAAATTACCAGGAGTGTCAATAAATTACTGCTACACTTTGTCTGCTACCTTTTGTCAACTACCAGTCTGACTTTCCTGTCAAAGGTGATGAGTTGATCCTGTTCTTAGTAAAGGTGAGTAAACTCTTGCTGACTTCTAGTGATCCCTGCTTCCTTTTTGTTGTAAACATAAACCCTTTTCAATCTCCAAAGCTGTCATTTCAGGACTCCCAAAGTAAGAAGAAATCACCTTACTTATGTCATTCTATCACAGCTCAATCTTTTTATTTATTTTAGAGTATATATATTGAGTTTTAAAAACCCTTCTTTTAACAATAAAAAATTCTTAACCAATCTCTCTTTCCTCCCTCCCTCCCTATCTGGCATTTCCTGAGGATGGAACCACATCTTATTTAACTGAGATCCAAAGCCACTAGAATAAGAATTGGCACATAGGACCTTATATCAGTTTCCTAGGGCTACCATAATAGAATACCACAAACTGGATAATGTAAAAGAGCAGAAATCATATTTCTGGAGGCTAGAAGTCTGAAACCAAAGTGTTGCAGAGCCCTGCTTCTTAAACATACAGGGAAATTCTCCCTTGCCTTTTCCTAGCTTCTGGTGGTGTCTCTGCCTTATAAAGGCATCACTCTAATCCTCTGTCTTCACATGACTTTCTCCTTGTGTTTCTGTGTTTACATGCCATCTTCTTATAAGGGCACAAGTCATATTAGGTTAAGGGCACATTTACTCTAGTGTGTCCTCATCTTAACCAATATATCTGCAATGACACTATTTCCACATAGGGCCACATCTGAGGCACTGGAGATTAGGACTTTAATGTATCTTTTGGGGGAACATAATATAACTGCCAACAGCCCTCAATGAAGGTTTTTGCAATAATAAAGAATGAATAATACCTTGTATAATGAGAGGAACAAAAAAAAATGACATAGCTCTTACTCTCTACCTCTTTCTAAGGCTCCAACCCTTGGCCTTTTTCTTTTCTTTTTTTATCAGCCAGCTAACATGCAAGAAGCCCAGGATTCTTAGCACTTTTACAAAGGACTGGAAAATACTCAAAATCCAAATGACTAAATCTTTAATGACTTCCAGGGCTTCCAGGGAACCATTTATGCTTCCAGGGAACCATTTCGTTTGGTGCACCGGCAAGACTCTTTAAACCCAATACAGTAACGATGGGCCTGCTCCTGGGACACCTGAGTTTATGAAAATGTTCAAACTGAGTGATCCCTGGCAAGTGACCTAGTTATGTCTCTGGGTAGAAGCTCTCCTGACCCTGTGAGGCATGCTAGAAGCCTAAGCAGAGAGGGTGGTTCCCTCTGAGTGTCTGACTCATGTCACCTCATGACTATATCTTATAGCCTCCTCCTCTTTCTTTGCCTTCCTCTCTCTTTACCCAGCCAAACTCCTGGGAGTGTGGAGCCTATAGAAAACAAAATGTGGCCTGGCCAATGTGACTCAGTGGTTGAACGTGGACCTATGAACCAGGAGGTCACAGTTCGATTCCTGGTCAGGGCACATGCCCGAATTGCAGGCTTCATCTCCAGTGGGGGGTATGCAGGAGGCAGCCAATCAATGATTCTCTCTCATCATTGATTTTTCTATCTCTCTCTCCTCTCCCTTCTTCTCTGAAATCAATAAACATATATTAAAAACAAAAAAAAGGAAACAAAATGTGGACGAGCAATGTCCCTGATCTCTGTATGAGCATAGGGAGCTCAAGGAGCACTGTGCCAGGTGACAGAGAGTAACTCAAAATGGGGAGCTCCACCACTTTGGTGCATTGAGGTCTCCAGAGATATAATGCTCAATGGGTCCCCGAACTGCAGGCTTGTTGGGGGAAGATATTTACATCTTTTGGAAGTTACAGACTCCCAAAGACAGTCAATAGGGAAAAGGGGGAAGGTATAGGTCACAAGAAAATAAAATCACTAAGATCATGAGTACATATGGTGACCTCTGGGTGCCACCTAGAAATAGTGTGGGACTTAATGTCCTGAACAAAGATTGGAACCCAAGAACTACTGTGCATGCCCGTTGGGATCTAGATTTACTCAAAGGCATATGCGGCCTGGCACATAAGTGACGGTCATATGAAATAACTGCAGCCTCTGAGGCAGAGTGGCTTACACACATCACACAGCTAATTGACCCTGAAACAGAGACTGAAATGCACATTTCTCGGGTCCCTCTAATGCTATTCCCACTTCATGGCACCCCTCTTCACCTGCAAGACTCCGTCATTCTTGTAAATGAGACAGTCAACCTTTAGCTTATGAAAGACAAGAGGGATATTCAGAATCTTTCAGAAATGTAAACTGGTAAGTGACGAGTGCACCCTACACTTAAAAATTGACGAATTATCTGCACAAAATTCATCATGTCCTCTTCCCAAACCCAGAAAGTCAAACCAAGTTGGTTACTTTATGTTTCAGTATTACTTTCTTTTGATTTGTTCTATTAATGGTGGATGCCCTCAAAGTCTAATTTTTCTGGAAAATTAAATTAAAAGTGAAATTTTATTATTTCCTGAGTTTTAGTGTGTCCATGTATTAATTGACACTGGATATCATGTCTTATAATTATTAAGGGAAACCAGAAATCTCTTAATTTAAGAGATGATATAGTTTTGGGTTTTTAAAAAATAAATATATTGGTTCATGCTCTGGGAACTAATTTATTTAAGTTTCCATTGAGGCTTTTCCTGAGGAAAGTGGGTTTTGTCTAGTTTTTAAGATTTTTCTCTTTGACCTTGGTTTTTGGTAGTTTTGGTGTGCTATATCTAACTGTGGAGTTCTATATATCTTTCTTGGATTTGTTAGGCTTCTTGAATTTGTGGATGAGTGTTGTTTATCAATTTTTAAAATTCCTAGCCATTTTTATATGCTTGTGTCTAATATTCTGTACCTCATATTCTCCCCTCTCTTCTGGGATTAAAGTTAAAAATATGTTAGGCCTTCTACCTCCATTCTCTTATCACTTACTTCTCTTTGTCTTTCCATGTTGCATTCTGAAGAATAGCTTGTGACCTATTTTCTGGTTCAATCATTCTTTCTTTAGCTTAATCATCTAGTCAATGAATTCTCAGTACCAATTTTTATATTATTAATTTTGGGGGTATGGTTTCCTTCTCCCTATAGTTATACCTAAGTTTTTCTTTTATCTCATTATTTATTTATTTATTTATTTATTTTTAAAATATATTTTTATTGATTTCAGAGAGGAAGGGAGAGAGAAACATCAATGATGAGAGAGAACCATTGATTTGCTGTCTCCTGCATGTCCCCTACTGGGGATCGAGCCTATAACCCGGGCATGTGCCCTTGCCCGGAATCGAACCCAGGACCTTTCAGTCTGCAGGGCAAGGCTTTATCCACTGAGCCAAACCAGCTAGGGCAGTCATCACTACTTTTAAATGAGTTAAAGGCAGTTTCTTAGTTAGGTGGATATAGACATTGTTATTTTCTCAGATTTGGAAATAACCATTGCTTTGCATTCCCACTGAGATCTAACTTGTGAGCCTAGTACCTCCAGAGTTTCAAAATTTTTGCCAACAAGGCATTTGGAAGCAGAACTATGAGTGGTATTTACTGTGTAATGTCCATGGACTACATTGCCAAACTTTGTTACAGGGGAACACCCAGGCAGGTTTGTGCTACTGGGAGGAGCGTCTACTGTTTTCAAGGCAAGTTCAAGGTCGGATGCTTTCTTTTCTATATTGACAGAAAAGAGTCACAGCCTCACTAAAACACATGTACTTGTCCTATTAGTTGAATTCATAATGCTATTATAAGGAAGCAAAACTATTCATCTAGAGAAGGCTTAGAGAAAATTATGCTTAAAATTATTAAGACCAACCTGTGGGGTTTTTTTTTTGTTTGTGTGTGTGTTTGTTTTTATAAAACAGAAATACTTTCATGAAAACTTTATATGCAAACATGAATATCTCTAATGATACTGATTGGGGATATTTATCATGTCAATGAGGCAACTTTTAGTTACTCACTGGATAATTTATCAGATTCCTTAAAATTTTTACTTTTCTTCCTGCTGATAGACCAAAACACTGTTTTTACTTAAAAATGAATATGTGTCCATTGCAAAAAAATTTTAAGAATAAAATGAGCCCTCACCAGTTTGGCTCAGTGGGTAGAGCGTTAGCCCTTGGACTGAAGGATCTCGGGTTCGATTCCAGTCAAGGGCATGTATCTCAGTTGCAGGCTCAGTCCCCGGCTGTGGTTGGGGCTTGTGCAGGAGGCAACCAATTGATGTATCTCTCTCTCCCTCTTCCTTCCACTCTCTCTAAAAAATCAATGGAAAAATGTCCTTGGGTGAGGATTAACAAAAAAAGAATAAAATGAACATTACCTACAGCCCTACCCCCATATGTAAATACTGCTAATATTCAACTATATTACTTTCTAATATTTTTTGTATTTATATGTTTTGTTCATTGGGGACAATTTTCTATCTTGTTTTTTTCTCTTAGAATTATTTTCTGAACACTTCCCATATTAATAAAAATCTTTGAAGACTGCTTCTAAAGAGATATCAACATTCTATCAAATGATTGTACAATAATTTACTTGAATGATGAATATTTACATTGTTTCCCTCTTCACTATTAGAAATACTGTATTAGACTTTAAAGGTTATTTTAACATCTGATTTTCCATAAATAATGTGCAAATGAATGACAGTGGCATTAGATATAATGTGTGCTGAATTTAAGCATCTCTCTTCTTACCTATACCTGATCAAATAAATATTTTATAGATTAAAAAACTTTAATTTTCTAAAAAGGTTCATTGATGTAAAAATCAAAGCTCATTTGTGGATGGAGAAAGTGGTAATCCTAATAAGCATAATATCTCTTTCTTGAAAATTTGGCACTTCCAGGTCAAACTAGGCCTAAACATTTGGGACCATGGTTGTGGTGAGAAAACAAGCAACATGGACCAAAGTTATTTTTATCATTTTTGCTTTAAA